AAAAAGATTAGGCTCAGATAATGCATAGTATAGTATTGAATCAAGAACAGGGTGTTTCTGTGCATATATGCTAGAGAATTCAACCATAGCAGACTGTCAATTCCAAATGGTATCTTATCTATGGAAACAGATTTTACATAAAAAATCCTAATAAATTCTTGGTGAAAAATTGCGGGTGACGTGCTGCATAGGATTTTGTCTACATATTTTCTGTACATATTGTTTGAGTGATATGACAAAGAAAAAAAAATGTTTGTCCGATTACTTAAAACACAAAATACACAGACTCAATTCTGTCTTAACTATGCGTTGGAAGGACAATTTACTGTAGAACGGTTATGCACAGACCTCACTGTGTTTTTCAATGCTTGACAGTCTTTACAAACTGATGCTCAAAAACAATACTATTACTTGCAACTGTTTGCTTCTGAGAGTTGAGATCCAAAGTTTTAGCCAAAGATTTGTATATATTTCATTACTTTAGACAACACTCCCTCCGCAGTTAACCTCTTTGTCTGTGTTGAAGGCAGCTATCAGAACCATGGACAGCAACACTGACATGCGTGAAATACTGTACAGTTAAACAATTATGCCAGTTCTCAAATGATTTACCAGAAAAGACAGCCTAATTTCTGGCGAAAATAAGTCAGTGTATGACAGTGTAGCACCAAATCCTATCCATAGTAATTTGTAATCATTTACAGTAAGTAGTTAAATAAAGTGCAAGCTCTTTTCATTTTATTTTGGGTAGGGTTTATTGGGAGGTTGCGTGGTATATTTTACAAATAACCCACATTATTGCCATGTCATCTGCTTTTGAAAAATAATGATTGATTCTTAAAATTTACTCAAACCTTTTTTTCTGAAATTAACGGTAGTGTACAGTAGATACTAGTAGTATAGAATACAAAATTCTTAGTAGTCTTAAGTATGGAGCTTGATATAAGGGCATCTTTTCACTGAAGCACAGGAAGCTGGCTATTCTGAACATACCCAACTACAGATGATTAAATCATGTTGGCATTCCTCTATTTACATAATAATTGGTCCTCAGGGGGTGCTAGCATTATTGCTATTTTTTGAAGGAGATGAACAGTATACACTTGATCAATAAAGTCACCCACTTTAATTTAAATGTGCAATAATTCAAAAGTACAAAGTGACTTAATATACCGAACTTTTTCTATTTAACATTTGTAAATCTCAGCATTTCATGTACTTAATGTGTTCTACAAAGCACCAGATTGATTGCAGGTCCTCATAATCTGAATTCTCTGCCGTAAAATTATTCATTCTGCTTTAATCCTGAGTCACTGGCTTCAATCAGGAGATCAATGGACTATCACTAGCACCAAGCTAACAGTGCAAATCATGGCCTGTCCACTCTAATACCCCAGCCAATTCAACAACTGCAAAACATTCAACATAAGAAATGTCTCACTGTCAGATATGCATACAGTCACCTCCGTTTATATTAGCTTGTAATGTATTAGATTCATCTTAAACCCAATCAAACCACCCCCAATACCTTAACTGAACAGGACATATAACACAGCTAGGAAGAAAGGAAGGAAGTAATTTTCATATGTTATACCATTTAAGGATTGATATTTAAATCAGTAAAGACGGTTTAGATGTTTTTGCTTTTGAAAGGCATCTACTGGCCTCTATTCCTATTACTAGTATAGATGATAATAATGATATTGTAAAATGCCTTGACATCTCTTCTGAAGCAATCATGATAAATGCATACTGTATGTGCTAATGCAAAATGCCACAACAGGTAAGCTTAAATTGTTAATAACATTAGTAATAGCATCTTAATGAATGCCGTGTATTGTGTGTCATTTCAACAACTTCAACATTTCAACAATAGCAGATTTTTATATAAAACATGTGCATGGGCAATATGTAAAATACATTGCAGTCAACTTCAGTTCTGTTCTGAAAATAAACACTGATCCTGGAGATATACCCATAATCAATCAGAACATGTCTATATTTAAGAAAAATAGACAACAGTGCTGAATTTAGTTAAAAAAATAAACATGAGCTGTTGCACTCGATTCTGTTACTCTTTTGAACAGAAAAGGATAGATCTTGTACTGTACCTCAGTGATTAAGAATCTAGAACGTTATAGGGAAGATGTTCAGAATATGGCCATTAGATGGGATTACGTCCATGTTTTTCCACAGAATAGTTATCGGGCTGCATTTCAGGGGAAAGCATTAAATATTGATAGCCCTGTAGATGAGTGTTTTGACCCTGTGTAACTAACTCAGGTACAATCTGAAAATCTCAGCACAGGTTTTCTCTGAAAAGTCCTCATTGGCTTTCAATAGGCAGGTGCAGAGTGATGTGAATGAGACTTGCGTCATGTCAAATTCCGCTCATCTGTCAATGTAGTGGATTATTTCTTGAGAGACTAGAATTGGCTGCCTGGAATCAGAACACCATCAATCTTACTAGTGCAGGGTGCAGGGAACCTGCCTGGCAGAGGCTCATGGGAGAAAGCAGTGCTGTTTTGGAGCAGGTGATGAAGCAGCTGTAAAACCTTTACTCAATCTGTATCACAGACCTGACTAAAATATGTCATTTTTTAACATTTTTTTCCCACATATTTAGTATGCACACGGTGTCTGATCTGCTCCTGTTTCATAATGCAGGCAATTTTTCAAACTTGAAATTTGATCTTTTTCCACCCCTTCCCCCACTTTATTTTGTGGTTTGTCTCATTTCTTGTTCTTATCATTATTATTGCTTTTGAGTAGCTTTGGGAGCTTGAAAGTGAAGTTCTCACTCTTTCTTGAATTGTTTATAAAATTAAGACCTAACTATAGGTCTAATTTTCCAAATTGAGCACATTGTCTCCAGCATGGGAAGAGCAAAAAACTACTAGAAGGCCTGTGAAATGGAAGAATATCCTCAAATTTAAAAAAAGAAGCCATGTTAATTAAAATATTTATCACAGCATTTCAATTCTGGGAAAGTAGTTCTGGTTAGATCAGTTAACAAAACTGGAACTGACTCAAATTGCTTTTAGCTTTTTCTTTGAAGAAATACAGAGCCCACAGATGGATGCTTCACAACAAAGGGTACATGGAAAATACCCAGGTTTTTTCCTGCAAGTAAAGAGATGATACTTCACCTCATTCTGGCTGCTTATATGGGGACCATCAACCCGAATACTTGCCTTTTATCCAGGTAGTTGCAATTGTATCTTAAGATCCTGATGAAACATCTTATTAATGAGATGGGACAGTATATTTTCTTCCTCTATTTCAAATATATTCTGAAAAGGATTAGCTTTCTTAGAATGTAAGATTAACTTATTTCTCCTTTTGCAGTTGTGCCTGTATGTACAGTGGGCTCTGAGTCCCTGTTTCCCAGTTTTTTCCCTGGGAGTCTTGTCTGGTTATTTTTTGTCCTTAACAACTAGCTTTCAGCTGTCATTTGCATTAATGGAAATAAATAGTTCTAATCTATAAACTGTCTAGTTTTTGAGCTCCTTGAGGTTGAATTCTGTTTTGCTGGCCTTTTGCATAATGCAAAAGACACTGACTGTAGGGCATACAGTTTCATGTACAGTGCTGGCACCAAAAGCTTCCAAGCATGAAAGGCCTGGAAGCGCAATTTTATTTTTTTTCATTGTTTCTCTTCTCACACCCCTACCTCTGCTAAGAACCATCAGTAAGACTATTGTGCTTCCATTTAAATAGCAGGCTTATAACTCAGTGCTTAAACTGCATAGTGCTTTTTGGCCCACATAATACCTTTCTGTAACAGGTCTATTCTGCAATTTCCTTATTTTGTGCATGGTATATAACAGATGTTTGTATGGTAACGGAAATGTCACTCAGAAAAAAAATCTCTGTATATGACTATGCACATCTAATACAATAAGAATAGCAAAAACAGACTGTTGACATTTCATTGATGTTGTAACTGAAACTTAGACATTAATGTTGAGCACGTTTTAAGATTGTTTAAGATAACCCATTTCCCACCGGAGTAACAAAGCAGCTTGGAATGGCTTATTGTGCACCACAAGCGTATATCATTTACTTTTTACACTGTTGATTATATTAAGCCAACCAAACCAGAATAGTTATCTCTTTGGACTTCCATTTCTATCTCATTCCAGTTTAATTACTTTTCCATTACAGTAAGACGAGAATGTTCTTTCCAGCTATACAACAGTAACACTTAATGGAAGCTCTTTACTGTAGTCCGGGAGGGATAACGACAACCAATTCACTATTGCCCAGCTGTTCCAAATTGTAACAGATCACCAATGTCATGTTTCAAAAGCGTTTTTGTGTATATCATACACAAATCCCCTTTTTCACATTTTGTCTCCTGCATCCCATCTTAACCTCTTTAGCTGCCTATGGTTCTCTTTACTCTGCGGGTGCTTCACCCTTCTGGTCCTCTGGCCAGTGGGGTGGACCTCAGTTAAACAGGTACAGTAAGACTGAATCTCACTATCTCCTCAAAGATATCTAATTTTTAGGTGTTGTTATCCTTCTTGAAGGTTTATAATTCTTTTCAGAATTCTCAACATCTCTATTCATTGAGCTTGGGGTTGGTTAAATGACTGCCCTCTTACTAGCGAGTGCGGGATTGTTTTAAATTGTGAATAAAATAAAATGATTGATCTAATTTGCTCTTGGTACAGACAAAAACCTTACGCATCTTCTAAAGGGAAAGAGAAAAGTGTCAAGTTACAGTATTTTTCCAAGCACTCATAAAAAATTTCAAAGTGGAGGCAAAGCTTGAAATGACAACTCCATTCTTATCAAGGTCCAAATGTAGAAATGTTTGATCCACATATGGAAAATGGAAATATTTTCTTTTTTTAAGACAGATTTTCAAAGTTCAAAAGAAATGTATAGAGAAGTAAAGAAACCACAAGCAAGAAGGCATTGGTGATCATTGATATGGCACAAAGAAATGGGGGTGACTGAGGAAAAAGAGAGTAGAATAAAAAAATATGTACCTAGGATCTGGATGGCACTCCTACCTGGCCTGGGTAGGTGGTGCTGCTGTATGGTGTCGTAAAAGCTCGCTTGACAGAGCAGCATGGCTCCTGCACTAATCCACATACACAGGAACCAGGACATTGCAGGGTAATTCTCTAAAAGGATAAAAAATATCAATACTAATAAATATGCTGCTAATAATACATACGCACATCAAGTTTGTCCACCAGTTATCTGTGGCAACGACACTATCTTGTTTGAAATGAGAGCTAGTATATTTATGAAACCAGATCTTTCGAAGTTAGCTCTGATCAAGTGTGCAGTATGTGGCACAAGGCTTCAGAAAACTTCAGTCATTTATTACGATTTGAAGACTTAACATGAGTGTCAGTCCAGGAGGATCATTTTGTATTCAGCGCAAAGTAAAAAGAAGATCAGAAAAAAAAAAATGAAATGGTGTCTTTGACATTTTTTAGAAAATTTGCTCATTAAGTAAAAAAGATGCATGAGAATTTATGAATGTGGCCCAGTGGACACTATCTTTCACATACTGTACAGTAAGTCTCTGATATTGCACTTACAGTAGTTGTAATTAAAGCGCCTATTTTACAGTCTCTTTACTCTCTGCAATGCAATGCTTCATTTTTTATATGGTAGAGATCGTTTAAAAATATAAAATTTCATAGCTAGAGATGAAATGTGCTATACGTATTTTGAGTAATCTGTTAGGGTTATGAGCGTCAGTACGTGCAGATTTATTTTAGGAAAGTTCTCATGAAGTGCGTGAAATACCTTAAAAATGCTAATACTTTTACTAGCTGTTTGGTAATAAGAGCAGAATAAATGCCACAGACTGACATGTCATACAGTACATAGATACTGTCTTTGTGGAAGACAGCTGCTAAAATGTTGAAATATTAATCCTTTTTCCATTTAATTATTTTAAGGACATCTCTATGCCACAAAATTAGCATGGTGTTGTCAAATCAATTATTTTTGTGACAATGCAGCTGCTTATTTAGTACTGTATATGAAATGCATATCAAAACTCCTACACACATTTGATAATTAACTTGTTTTCTGTAAAGATGGGATTAATTGGGTGAATAGTGTTAATGTATTACCCACTCAAGTCAATGAAGTGTCTCTTATTGAGGTGATAAAGAACGTAAGCCTAGTCCTCATTCTGAGATCGTTTTTGCTTAGCATCTATTTTAATTAAAAAATGTGGTGTCCTCAGTCATGTTTATTGCTGAATCTGATGGTGACAAAAATGGAATTATGCCTTGCACAAGTTGTCCCCGACCTATCACAGTTTGCATTTGTGCCATTTTGATACTATTACAGTATATAAACATTTCCATTGTATTTTAAGATTACCAGTGTTAAATTGATACATACTGTATAATTAGTCTTTTTTTAAAGAAGAATACCAATTTGATTTATGCTTTTAATATTATAACTCGGATTTAAACTTCTGACATGTTAAACCTCTGTCATTTCTCTATTTTTTTAATTATGTTTTGCCTTTAATATTTGTAGCATTATTAGCAGTACTTTTTGCATTCTTAAGGGAACAGAGTTTTTCAGAGCAGGTTGGAGTTACATTTTTCAGTAATTATACATGGGTAATGGCAGAATCTACTTTAAAACAAAGTAACTCTTTACTAGAGAGAACAAGGACAACAATGCAGTTTAAAAATCAATAAACTACTGAACACTTGCTATTCACTTTCAGCGATGATGAGCCAACGTTTTTTTTTTTAAAGAAGTGATCTTGAATGAGTGGGTCAATTACGAGCCATAAACATCATCCTGTGACAAAGCACTCTCATTTTGTGAAGCACAGTATTGAATTCGAAAAGAATCTCCCTATACCCTCACATGACATTGAAACTACTATGTATGAATATGCACGGTCTAAAATTAAGCATATAATTATTAAAGGCTCATAGTAATCCCCCCTGTAACACTAAATCCTTTCAGTGCTACAGTTTTGTGGAAATGCATATGATTCCCTAAGGAGCTCTTTCAGTGCATCGCATTTCTCACTGGCAAACTGCCTTCATCATGAAAAACTTCCTTTCTCTTCCCAATGAAAAAATTAAATTTAGAATTTTTTTATCTATCCAACAGCGGACTGACCATTTGTTTAATTGTATTTTTATTTAAGTGTCTAACTGCACGGTAATCTGTATTTCTGAAGTATGAAATAACAAGCAAAGAATCAGACCTAATATGCATTTAAAAAAAATAGCCATGTGTTTACAGGGTCGTGCATAGGAAAGGACAGCTAAATTACAGTATTTCCTAAGTTATGCTCCATGTAATTTGAACTGTTCAGACAGCAATGCAATGTTGACACTCATCAAAATAAACACACACCATTTGATTGTTTTTTGATAAATTCCTAGTTAAGTGGCATGTCTTGTGTCGGTTTTGCAAATTTGCAGATCTATTTAATGGTCCATTTTGTTCCTGTTCTGCCACCTAATTAGTACATTGATTTATCTTTCTGTGCTCATTACACAAATTGCAATGACGTCTGTTTTTTTATGGAGGTCTCATTTCTCACGTGCTGTTTGTCCAGCGCAATAGCAATTGTTCCTCTTTGCTTTGATCATTGTTCTTTCATCTCAGTCTGAAAATAAATCTATATTGCATACTCTTTTTGCCACATTTTATATTGTGAAAACATGACAGAAAGATCATATAATATAAAAAGAGAAACTATATTCCTAAGCTGATGTTTTGGTATGAAAACTGTTGACCACATAAGTTTTCAATCTTTAATTAAGTAGTATGAACTACTGATAGAAAAATTAATGTTCAACTAAATACATTTGAAAAATATCTGATGACTTTAAAAAAGAAATAGATTCAGTTATATTTTGTTTGCTCTTAAAGCATCTCTGTTCTAAGTATTTGGCAGAAGAATGAACATAAAGTATTGATTTGGAACTTTTTTAGTTTAAACTTGTTTTCCAAAAGGTAACAAATGTAAGTATAATGAATTAAGAAAACAAACTTAAAAAGTCACAACAACTGGCCTGTAGCAGGATGTTCTCAAAAATGTATTATGTCAGTTAGTGAAAAATAGACGAGAAAGAAGGGACATTTTTTATTAAGCCTTTAAGTGAAACAATAACATTGAGAAAATTGGGTCTTGAGCCTCATATAACTCCTTAGAGTAACTTTTGCATTTCCTTACCTTGCATTTCTACAGTATATTGAAACAAAAGAAAATAATCTGTTCCTCATTAAATAGTCTCCTTTAACGCTATCCTCTATTAAAGTACAGATTTTTACAATGCTAAATCCTATCAGATCCCCCTTGTGTTTCTTACTGGTGTTGAGATGTCACAATCATAACTAAATCTCTTCGGCATTGTACAGTACTTCATTCAGATCAAGGGGATAATGACCAGTTTTAGTTAGGTCAAAGATTAGAGCTTGCTTTGAATCCTAACACTTAACCCTGGCAACCTAGACATGCAGTTCCAATTATTAGCTGAAAAGATTTACACCCTAAATGAGCTTAAAAAGACTCAAATCGCGGAGACCAAAGCTCTTACCTGAGTAATCCAGCCAGTAGCAAAGAGCCCTATTAGTGTTCATCCAAAAGATTTAACACATTGTCTTAAATCCATCCATTCCACGGCAGGGATTCCGATAAGTTCCTAGAATAATCTACGCAAACAAGGATTAGGAAAAACTCTTTTGTCCCCTTCTTCTCTTCAGCTCCAATCCTGCGTGCAGAGTGAATGAAATATCAGTGCTGAGATGCACTGTCAGAAAGTAGCCTGGATTTAAGGGGTGGAAACCTTGTCATTTCACCTTTAAATCATCTCACGGCATCACCTCTTTACCAGAGGGGACCCTTGAAGTGATCTTGAGTTAATTTGCAGCCTCACATTTACTTAAAGACGAGGATCAATCCCTGTTTAATGACAGACCAGCCTTCCCTTCAGTTCATTCCTCCCATTGAAAAAGCTGCTTTAAGCACCAGCTCTATCTCCTTTAGAATGTACTAAGTAGTGTGTGTATTTCAATAGACCCTTACTGGAGCGGTATCACATGTCTTAAAGCTAGACTGCCCACTATTACAGAGCAACTACATTGTATAATGAAGCTTAGTTATTAACCCTTTGACAAAATCAGCAGGAATGATGCGGAACACATTAAGGAGGGCACACGGAGGGGGTGTGAGAAGAGGCAGAGGGGTGGGGGGGGGTGTCTCTATAGTACTTACTAAAAATGCCTTGCTGTTTCACTGCAATGTAAAGATCTGACTTGAGCAACATTAATTAAAAAGAGTCAATATGCTTTCAGTGCAAGGATGAAATTCATAAAAAATGCAGCAGGCTATTGTTCTGCCCATTGTACCTTAATGCCTATTTGTTTTAATCCAGAATTCTTGTGTCTATCTAATATCTCTATAGCAAAGTTCCTTTGGTGATGCTAGAGAAAAAAAAGAGTGGCAAACATTCCCTCTATTTTTTTGCAACAAATTAGAGCCACTACTACACTATAAATCACAGTGTTGTTTCTTTTCTTTTTTAATGGACGGCAAAGGAGAGATTGCACCAAATCTAGATCACTTCCACTACCTTACCTGTATTTATTCACTTGGAGTACCATTATATTACGAGGCAGTAAATTCCGATTATTCATCCTGACATTAGGAATTGCAAAATAAAACAGATCACCTTACAGTATGGCTCATATCACTGAATCCCCTAGAATAAATATTTGCTGAATGAGTAATGAAGGTAAATTTAGTATAAAAGTGAGAAATTTGCCTGTTCTTTTTTTGTTTCTGAAGGTGGTTGAGTGGGTTGGGGATGCTTCTCAATGGAAAAGGCACCTAAATGCTTGTTTCACAAGCAGCGTTGTGCATGTGAAAAAAATACCCTGCATTTTGTTTTAAAGCCTTTATTTGCCTTGCATGGTTATGTTTTTATGGAGTTCTGAGCTATAAAATAGGTGTGGCAAATGTACTGCCGCAAATAGCTGGGGCATATTTATTATTCTCTCAGTATTTTCATATAAAAGGAAGGAGGCAAAGGTTGTTTTTGCAGCTCAGATTCGTGAGTTATGTTCTATCTGAACCAACATGATACAAAAACCTGGGTGGTGGGATACTGATCTCTGCTGGGTTTCACTGCACCTGAGGTCTGTATTACATAATTTAACCCTTTTACTTATCTAATTGTCTAATTAATTGCTTAACTAATCAGCTCCTAAACTGTTGGAAATTTCAGGTTACCCATAGATTTTTCAAAGATAACGTGAACTAGGCTAGTGTCTTTCAGGACCCAATGCAGGACCCTATGTCTTTCAGGACCCTATGAAGACAACACAATCCGGAAGGGAGTGAGAAAACACGGGGAAAAAAGACTAGGATAGGGGCTGGAAGAAGAACAGGGGGCGTGTCCAAGGTGTGCTGGTGTTTCGGGGTGGGGTGGGGTGGGGTGGGGGGGTGTCCAGGGCAAACAAGTCCAAAGGGAGTCCATGAGAATAACCCGAGTAAGCCAATGTCCAATGCCGGGTGATCCATCCTGACACAGACGAACAAAGTTAAAAGCTGGAGCGGGATCCAGCGAAGGGTCGGGGGAATAAAAGGGGGGTAACGGGGCCAGGCGCTCCCAGTCCTGGACCCAGATGGTCAGGACAACGTTGTGAAGCCTATGCCGTCGAGTCGCTCCTGGACTCGCGGGTAGGCAGGCTTCTGGGCGTCCATCTTCCAAAGCTGAGTCCAGATTGGCAGGAGATCAAGAACAGATAAGGAAGGGCTGGAGTGTCCTTAAGAGGAGGGGTTTACAATCGTGACAGCAACTTCTTGTGTGATTAGTATGCATTTACTATTTTAGCTTATTAATTTTTAGCATATGAATTTTTCTCAAGGTGACATACTTACTGACTTGCCCTGAGAGATTCTGACCTGTCCACACATACTGTATACAGTGCCCTGTACAGTACCTTATTCAATGGAGTAACTGTCCGTATTGAATGAGGACATCATCATTTTAGGAAAACAAATACAATGAGTGATACAAGGATTTGTAAGCAAGCAAGATGAAAGAAAAAATAATTAAAATGTTTATGGATGACTCTTTTAAATATATTATTTTTATTCTTTTTGACCAAATCATTATATTAAAATATTTTATATCAATTTACAGAAACTAATTTTCATTCAGTTCTCTTAATATTATTCATTCTTTCACTAATGGTATTATAACATATTAGAAAACAGAGATTTCAGTTGATATTAATTAACCTATAGGTCATTCTGTCAGATGAAGCTCTTAATAACTATTAAAAAATAGATTTGTAATGGGAAAACTCTAACCTTTTATATAAATAGTCATATTTCAAAAAGACAGGATCACTGCCCCACACACATAATATTTAGTCACTTTTGTCATGGTTATATGTAGAATATCTTTTTATTTATTTTTCTTTGTATAGTAGAATTAATTTTAATGGTTCTTTTTATCTTTTTTTCGGGTAAAATGATATATGAGGTTGTATATATTAGCACCCTGGGTTTGAGCGTTTGAGGGTTTGAACTCACACAAAGAGTTAATTTTAAGGAGGCTTTCAGCAATGTGTGTCAAAATTAGATACCTTTAAGGCTGCACTGCCTGTCACAGTGTGTTCCAGAAATGTTCCTCTGTACAGCCCAGTATGGGGTCTCAAAGGAAAACTTACAATAGGAGAGCTTCCAACTGCTTGGTCTCATTCAAGTGTGCCTTTTTCAAAAGCAACAGTCTCTAATTACCTCTCCCCTGCTTGCTGTTTTGAAGTTCGTCAGGTTCTGTCTGAATTTTATTAGTGTGATTGACTTATTGATTAATGGATTTATCATGGCTTTGGAGTTGTACCACACGTGGTGAAATCAAATTGAAAAAAAAAAAGGTTATGGAATTTTTCTCTTTTTCTCTGTCTCTCGTCTCTAGGGCCGTTCCCATTTCCAAACAGCTGTCACCATAGTTTGCGCCAAGATGAATTAGAAAACTGGGACCACCAACAGCCACAGATTCTATTGTGTGCACCCTGTGAAACAGCAGCAAGCTATGCTGGAGACTCATTTGAGAGCAATAATCCAAACTCGATGCTTAACTCTGTGTTCTGCAACCATATTAAGGGAAACCTCTGTGGATAATATTTTCTTGCAAGAATACTTCCAATATATAGTAACAGATCCTGTGTCCAAATGAAAAGAGAAAAAGTCAATTTCAAAAATGGTACTGTTATACTAATTGATGAGTAATTGTGAAGTCTTACGGTTGGAGTGAGGAAATGGCACTATACTAAAACACATCAGAAACCACAATTACAGTATGTTTAAACACATTCCTGCAGCACTAAATGGTGAACTAATCTTTATCTAATCTCTCCATTTAGTTACAGATTTCTACATTCCACTTTTTTCCCTGGAATTTGTTTTTTAAGAGAATTTGTAACCCAGATTTACATCTGTTTAGCCCCCTTTTCACCCGTCCTTCCCCATTCTCAAATTTTCTTTAGTTTTCTAATCTCCCTTATGTCTCATATTTCTGCTCTTTCCTTTACATACCAGAAAAAGACACAGCAGCTGAAATGTAGTGTTTTGTCTCTTTTGTTTTTACTTTTCTGAGAGGTATTAAATTCTACTGATGTCTTTCCCATAAATTTGATTGGAGAGATATTTGTCTAGTCACTATGATAATAATAATAATAATAATAACAGTAATGATCTATAAAGCTCAGCAGTAACCCATATGCACTAAATGAACACCATGTAATTTTTTTAAATATTTAGAGCATTGTAATTAAATACCGTAAGATAAGTTAAATATTTTAAGTTGCAGGTATGATAAGTTGCTAACAAATCCAAATGCATGGGTTAATGGAGTTATAATTACAAATTAATCTATACCTAAAGAATCCGTCAAATGAATCTAAATTTCATTTTCCTCATGTGTCTGTAAATATGATTACTTGATATAAAAGTCAATATTTATAATACCTTTAGGTGGTTGTTAATTGCACATTATTACTGGGGAGTAATATAAAGCATTATTTATTTAAAAGTAGACAGCATTGAAGGCTTGTGCTAATTAACATTTATACCCTGACGGGGCTGGTTTCTCTCGTCTTTGGTTTAATTGACAATCGAGTCTAGAGTCTAGAGGAGAATCTCCAGTGACTATAGAGGACAGGAGTACTAGGGGGCTTTCTCTTTCCCACTCAGACTGGTTCATTTCACAAAGAACCAGAGGAGGGCTGACAGTGGTGCACAGAGGAGGAAAAATCAACACATTCCTTTGCTGTACCTTTGTGGCTTTGGAAATGAATTACCAGTACAAAATCCATCTTAAAAGTGGGTCAAAGCAGGTTAGTTAGTAAAAGCTGTGATTTGAGGATGCTTGCATCTGAGATTCCCTGTTAATCTCAATGGAAGCAATGACGTCGAAATGTGTGAAAATCTGCCTTTGAAGTGCTATGCTCTGAGTCTACATTTCAGTGTATGAGAGATGAATTTGTTTACTCTTTGTTCAATATTTTACTTGAATGGTCAAACCAACACACTCTAAATCATACTACTGAAGCTGCTTGCACAAAAAAGAGGAGCAAAAAAAAATATGAAAGAATACCTATTAAAATTAATTTCCCTTGATTGGACCAGATATTGCGTTTTTGAAATAATGTCTCCAGTCAAACAAAAGAAGTTTCAGTTAAAGCAAAGGAATACAATGAATTGCAAGCACGGAGAAAATATAATATTGTACTAAGAGAGAAATTAAAAGGAGTATTGCAGAAGAGGATAAAATAAATAAAATGTTCTTCAGAACTACAACAGAACATGAAGCAAAATATAATGTATCTGAACCCTAAGAAACTTAACAATGACAGGGAAGTGGCTGATATACCAAATGAGTATTTCACTCAGGTGTTCACTAGGGAAGAAGTCAAAAACATATCTCAAGCAGTGGAAGGACAAAGTTCTGTATTAAGTAGTATTAGCATAGACGAGGGGAAAGTAATCCAGCCTACTCAGCAATCACTCAGTATTAAAAACTCCCCAGG